ACTATTTATTATATAATTATTATATATTTATTAAACAATAATATGCATGTGCGCAGATGACATGTCTCATTTTTTAGTCCATTCATTAATTATAGTTACACATATATGTACAAACTGAATTGAAAGTATACTTTTATTATTTACAAACTTGAATTACTTTTATACATTGGAAGAATGATTCAATGAAATTACGTTATTTAAACTAGTTCTTAAAATGTTGCTGCTGAAACAACAAAGAATGTTTTATTGACCAACCCTCATTATCCTCTGTTTCATTAAACTTTGAAGGCAAGATCAACATGGTAATTTATTGCAGAATGATATAGTATTTCAACAATCTTTTTAATGACATTCATTTCAAAATCAATAGGAATGACAATAATGTAATTTTAAACAGTTAGTAAAAATCTGCATATATTGCCCAAAAAACTAAAAACTGCAGTGTTACTTTTAACTCCCAATAAATACTCTGCCCTTAGCTAATTCGTAACTTGAATAAGATTGAAAATGATACTTTATTCAGTCGTTCTCACCAGGAGAGGAGGGGGAGCTCACAGGGCCTCAACTCCCTCCCCTTTGATGCCAATAATAAAAATTAATATAGATTTTACTAATATTCTAAACTGACAAAAATAATTCAATATATCAATTGTTAATGTTTCAAATATAAACTGTAAGTTGATAAATCAAAATAAATTTTATATTAAGCGTGAATCAAAAATTCAATATAAGAAACATTAAGTTAAAACTGAATACCTATAGTTTCCCAAAGAAAAATTCTGGGTAAGTCTCTGCCTCTATCAGATGCATTATAAATATCTAAAGAATTAATCTGTAATTATTAAAATAATCATTGCTATATTTATAAAATAAGAACATTTGTATTTTTTGGTACTTATTTCAATTATATATAGTTTTCTCACTAAAAATAAGCAATAATGTGGGAAATTCAGATTAACATTACATTGCTTTCCTAGGTGATTCTTATGGCACTTCAAATTCAGAGACAATGACCTCCATCTCAGTTAGGTTTTTTATCTTGTTTCCCTTGACACTATGAGCAAATACTGAGATGGCTCCTTGTTTTGCTTCTGGACAGTAAAATTAGTGTAGCTTCACTATCTGGGATTGTTTTTTTGAGCTCTGTGGAAGTGTTAGTGAAAATAACATTTTTTAGTGAATTATATCTTTAAATATTCATTCTCCATCATCGTGTGATAGTAAGTTGCTTCCTTTATATGGGGTGTGATAAGGGATAAGAATCAAAATCTGTAGCTCAATTGATTCTGCAAATATATTTTTATTACATGAGAGTGAATATTGCTTGTTATCATCTTTTGCCAAAAGAGCTTGTTGCCACCTTTATTCATAATTCTATTTAGTATAGTATAAGAACAAAAATAGAAGATTCTGCAACTGGAGGAAACATGGACATATCGCACGTCTCTCCCATACAACAATAATTTTTAATGGTTATTTGATGTTAAATAAATAAAAAGCTCTTAGGAATTGTTACAAGTGCTATTTTGGTACCTAAATAATGAAAAATAATTAGCTGAAGCTATGCTTTAATAAGAATTTTGTAGTAACTTAAGAAATATGAGAGTGAAGGGAAATGTGTTTGAATAATCAAATATTAAAATAAAGTGAGGAAATTTGTTGACTAGTTTTATCAATTCAAATAAAATTAAAATAATGTTTTAAACAATATTTTTGAATATAATTAATTAGATGGAAACTTACCTTTGCTGGGTTAAATATTGCCGAAGCATACTTATTCTTTTTAAAACCTGTGTGCTCTGTTGTTTTTGCCTTTAGAGATCATATGCAGCTTTCAGGATTCAGGAATGGTGACATTATGACAAAAATGAGCAGCCACTAACTTTATTTCTTCAAATTCACTTATTCACTATAATACACGGGAACACTAGAGTATAGTAGCACCTTCTCCCACAAATTACAAAACTAGTACAAAACTAGCAAACTATTGTTTACGTACAAAATTAGACAGCTTGATATGAGCTTAACAGTAATGCGATTCTTAATCTACCGCGTGGTGGTGTTATAATCTAATTTGAAAAATGAAAAAATGGTTAAATTCACCTTTGATATTGACAATTGGAGGCAAGTATGAAGAATACAAGTAAATGAAATTGATTTCAAATGTACAATTTGACAATAGAATGAAGACAATGAATTACCATGAATCAAATTAAACTAACAATCAGAAACAAGAGAAGAATGAATCATTGCAGTCTTCCAGGCACGTCACAGAACCCACTGAACAAAGTCTTTATTGGGTAAAGTATTGATTACTTGAGTTTCATTAGATAATTTTTTCAGTAAGTGTATTGATTTTATTTCAGTATTTTATTTTTATATGCCATAGTTTTAACAAATTTACCTGGTGCAAAATAGGCAAATTTCTTGTGGCATATCAATATGAAATGCCATTGGGAATGCAGATGAAGTAGCATTTTATGCAAATATAATTTGCTTCTATTACAATGTCTTATTTAACTTCATAAATAGTTAGTAGCAAGTATAGTATAGCAATTTATACTCAAAAGCGTTACAAAATGTTATTATTTAGTAGGTTAGAAGATCAGTCATTGATCAATTTGCCTAATTTTAATGTGATAGTTTTTTTCATATTCTTCACAGTCACTGTAACAGTGCACATTGAGATTTACTTCCATGTGAGGCACTTACATCAAGTTATTAAGTTTCTTTATAATGCACTAAGTTATAAAGAAAGGGAAATTTAAAATACAATAAAATAGAAGACAAATTTCACAGAATTATTGCCGAAGGAGTATTATAAATACTTCTATAAGCAGTAATCCTAATAATAAATATTAATATAAAAAATATGCTACAGCAAATCAGTAATTATAGGAAAATCAGAGAATGTAAGATGTAATAGAGTTAGATACAATAATTCTACTAGGAAAATCAAAAAAGTAAAGTAATAATTAGAACAGTCACAATCATAGTTACAACAGTAGCAGGCAGAACTAATGGAGTAATAGTATGTATAGGCATTCTTGATAGTCATACAAGTGAAACTCAATTTTTAATTTTCTCTCAAAAACTTTTATATTACTTATGTAAAATAGTAATGTTTCTTTGACATTTTACTTTACCTATTAATTTTTTTAATGAATTATGGAAATAAATTATAATGAATTTTAAAATATGAATGAAAGCCCATTCCACAACACAATTTTCTAACAAATATAGGTTATTATATGTAGTATATTAACATTTCATTCAAAGTAAGTAGCTACATATGAAGATCAGAAATACATTTTCTTAAATGTGACCAATGTAAGTAATTTATTTTAAGTCACAAATTTATTCAAACACAACTTAAATAATACAGTGAAACAAATTAATATTTTGTAAATGGAAAAATAAAGAAAACTTGACTCTCATCTTTAGTTTGTTAAAATAATTAATTTGTAACTCCACAGAATGTTAAAATTGCATATATTCATATTAAAGTTTTTGCAAAGTGAAAAATACTTCAATATGATATTGTAATAACAATATTTGGATGTCTGATGTCATAGTCTTATGAAATTAATAAAGAAACAGAATCTTGAGAGAAGATTACCTAGTTGACTCCTGATTGTTTTCTCACATCCTAATGTTATTTGTCAGTTTCTTCTTCTGAGACTTCCTCTGAGATATAATTATTTTATTCATGATATCAGTTTGTTGTAGTCTTTTGTGGAACATTGTGTGAAATACTTTCTTAGGAATTCATGCCAACTCATGAATTTCCATCTTATTGGTGCTTATACTTATCTGTAAAGTAGCATTGTGTATATTCTTTTTGTGACTATTTTCCCCACTTTGAGTGTAAATCTGCATTTCACAGAATTGTTATTACTTACATATTCTTTTTGTTTTATTATTTGTAGCTCATAAACAGTTATGTTCATGTCAACATGAACATTTAACATACTATGAATTTTTTTTATTACAATAGGATTAGGTGAATTATATTTTTCTTTTATCATGTCATATCTTTTCTTTTATACTGTCAAAATCAATTTCTCATAAGAATTTTAGTTTAAGACAGTTACGCAAACATAAATGTATATAAAACTTCAAGATTCAAGGAAATAATGTATTTACTATCACAATGTGAAATAATGATCCTGATTTCTCTAGACCACATCTATTACATCTATTACTTTAATACAAATTTTACAATTATGAAAGATTAATCATGTGATATTTGGAAGGAAAGTTTTAGAGAAACGCTTCAGATTTTTTCTCTTATTAAACAACATATAGTATTACTTTATTAATCAATGGCTCATGTATTTATTTTCTGAATGTCAAATGTATTGAGAGTTTTGGGGTCAAGCGTCTTGCGCTAATTTCTCTTTTCATGAAGTAATATATTTAGGTCTGATTCACTTTTTTACTGATTTGGATTTAGCAAATGAGGGGGTGAATAAAAATCAATCCTAAATAAATGAATAGCTTTGAAAAGCCAGAACATGATTGATGTTAAGAAAATGATTGCTATTTATATTCTTTGGGAAGAACATGTATTAGTTGATTTTAGTTAGTTACTACAGATGGATGCAATTAATTCATCCTTAAATAGTTTATCATAATTTGATAATATTATTAGATCTTAGCATTTAGCATCGTTTGTTAAGCAATAATTTCTTGGCTTTAAATATTGACATAATATTACTGAACCATTCTTTTTCTTAATTAAGTCAATTAATATATGCAATTTTTTGTTTAAAAATCAAGCTGGAAAACTCAGTATGAAATTTTCTGGATTTATTTTGCATTTAAGAAAAACATAAAATGACTAGCGATTTCAAAGAATTTTCCAATTTTAAAAATCGCTTGAGAAAACATTATTGTTGACAACAATAGTTCTGCATAAATACTTTACTTATATTTCAGGAAATCTGAGTTCTGTAATAAATTTTTCACCAAAAATAGATTAGTCCAATAAAAAAAGAAAAAAGAAGAAGAAGAAGAAAAAAAAAGACAAAAAAAAAGGAGAGAAAAAGAAAGAAAGAAAGGATTTTTATTTCAATTTTGATTAGAAAACGTTTTTAAAATTGCTGAATTTTCTTCTTATTGTGAGAAACAATATAGTGTTCAAAATTAACAATTTACCTACAAACAAGATTTGAAAATATTAACGCTAAAGTGAAATATGTGTTATCTACTTAATGATTGATCTTGCATTTATTATTGTAATAGAATTTCATTTTACACTAACTTTTATCTTCTCTCATTGATGTAAACTTTACTCATTTGGGTTTATGATTTCCCACAATGTGATTTTCAATTAATGAAAGTAATATTTAGAATTAATGCAAAAGAATATGTCAATAGTTTGTAGGATTTAAAATAATTTGTCAAATATTATTCAGAGAAATTAGAGGATTGAAGACTGTTGTACATTTCACATGTCAAAATTGACTTCCTTATTGTCGAAATGTGAATTCTTGTTAACAAAAGCAGCAAACACTAGTTACGAGTGATGCCGTATTTTGGTACTCTGTGTAGTAGGTGTAGTTGCCGTGGTCTCCCTTAGGGGATGTATGTATTAATCATTTAAACTCAAACGCAATCCGTTTGATCGCAATAATAGAGCACCTGCAGGCTGAGTTCATTTGAACATGTGGCTATGACAGACTTTAGGAAGGATTATCGGAACATAAGGCGTTTATTTCTCGTCATTGCAACCACTCAATTTGTAGCTGCATGACGTTTGCAAATCGATTGTCTCTAGCTCGTCATTTTCAGAGAAATGACGTTAGAATAATGCTTTGAACAGTGTGAATGTAAGAACTTGAAACATACTTGTTTCTAGGTTGAAAAGATACATAATAACGTAATATTTTGGATTCGGATTATTTTGTGAGAATAACGCTCTATGCATTTGAAATAAGATTCAGTACAAGCGTTTTGTCATTTTATTTAAGAATTAATATTTTGTCCACCCACCAAGAAGAAAAATGTCGACAGAGTTATTTTCGAATGTATATATGTGCTTGACCACTAAAAATTCATTTTTAAATATTCGTTTGTTAGAAATGAGATCTTGTTGAAATGATTGGGGATATTATTATTAATTTTACATTATTGCGTTTAACTAACAAAGCACACTCAACAAGTACTACTCATGTGTCACGCTGCTCATTATTCATTATCATAATTTGAATATATAGATAACATCAGATGTGATGAAATCGACGTTTACGTTTGCGAAATATTAACCTCTAGTCAGTATAGAATGAAGTTCAGCACATGAAATTGTGTTCAAATGGAAGTGTCAGTCGCACAAATCTTCGATGGCACCATGAAATATACGTTTTCCGCCTGCATACAAAAACGTGTACTATTAAGAAATCTCCACTTTTGCGTGTGATGTTTCTTGGTTGACACTTCATTATCTGAAATATAAACTTTATATACATCGAAAATACTTAAGGGGGAAGTTTTTCTGCGTTGAATATCTCGTTCTTTCTCTTATGAGATTTGTACTATCAGAAAGGATTTCTAGAATATATATATCCAGAAATATCACTATAGTACAGTAACATGCATTTGTAAAATATCTCAAGGTGCATATGGATTTGATCATCCAGTAACGGAAATAATATAACAGTAGTGCAGTAATCAACAAGGATTACTCTGTAGATTTATGGGGAGAACAATCCTTGCAGTTAGGAGCGAAGGAACTTGTGGGATCTTCATAAACAAAGTTTAGTATAAGAGAGCAGTCGAGGTAGACTTGACCCTCTTTTAGAACTCAAATGCAATGATTCTTTTTCTTCTCCTGTTCTTCTAATATTACCTTTATGACACGAACAGAAATAAGATCGGAACATGAGCAATATATATGCACTGATGGAAATACAGGTAGTGGAACATACATAGGTGCTGCGAGTTGAGGCATCATTCACAACGCACCCTTAGAATACCAAAAAACATGAAAAAAGTCAAAAGAAACCAATTGATATCATCTAGAATATTTGTAATGTCAAAATGAAATTGTACAAGTGCGACTCGTGCTACTTCGCCGCTTGTGGACTGACCGGCTCGGCGCCGGGTCTCTTCGGGCTCCTGCGGGCCCCAGGGCCCCGGGGAGCGGCTTCGCAAGCAACACCGTCCGCGTGGTGCAGTGATGTCAAGGTCTCTTCTGATGGCCGAGGCACACGCCACGGCACTCTGGCACGTCACGAGCTTCTCAGCGCTACTAGTGTCGGGAAAGAAACTATCAGTAGTAACCCCGCCGGTTTCCGACTCAGTGGAATCGCACGGAAAAAGAAGATATGCACAGAAAAATAAAAGTAAAAATGTAAATAAAAAATAACAACAAACGTTCATAAATGTATCTACATTATCTAAATCCCGCCTAATCGTATTTCATGCGGAAAGCGTAAAAGCCTTCAGGGCGACTTTGAGCGCCTACTGCTCTCTTGTGGCGAGGTGATCAATTGCGTGGAGTGGTGATTTTGCCGAGCTACCAGTGCCACGGACTCCCACTGCTGGCATCGACCTTGACATCACTGGCGTAGTGAGTGCTACGGGGTGCCGCTGGGAACCTCCGCCTTAGGGTTACCACCCGCTCGGGATCGCCCCTGAAGAAGCCCGGGACACTGGAAGGAAGTTCGGAGTCCAGAGATGCGATGAAACCGGACACCAAAACGACCGGGAATATAAAATGCTGGCTCTACGCCACGTCAAATAAGAAATTCGCCTGAAAATCTAAGTAACGACTATAAAATGGAGAAATTCGATTCTCTATCCCAATATTCTATGGTTGTACGAGAACTCGCAGGCAGAATATTGTTTATGAATAAGCATGAATCTAGAGCAGCAGATTCCAAAGTTCCGAAGATTTAAAATGTGTAAAAGTTACTTGAAATGTGTAAAAGAATTTTGAAACTATACAAAAAACTACCTGAAGGAAAGTCCCCAAATTTTCGTGTGCACAAGCAACGAAAATGTAAATATGCACCCTTTATAAATATTCATAGCAATGCCACTTCATTGTTCTTACTAAAGCTGTAAAGAGGCACCCGGAAATACGCCAATAAATAGGTGGTAACCCTACTCCGCCATAATGTAACGTTGATGATGTTTGCACCTAGGTGCCTACGCATCTGACATGTTCTTAGAGAAGGCGAGCTTGGAACGTAAAGCGATGTGAACGCGACAGATATTAACCAGAATAAGTTTGCAATCAGAAAATGCGTAAGAGAGAAAGTGGAAATGATAATCTCCTCATGTGCCATTACATTATGAAAGACAAAGTGTGTCAGTGAACATTTGGTGAGTCTTGCACAATTTCAGTAACATTTCTATTTGTAACATGGTATCCTAGAAGTAACTTTGCTACGAAGTTTTGAGCACAATTAAAGATTCGACTAAGATAAGACTAACGACAGCTTGTCTAAGCCTAGTACAAGCCTAACAAGAGAAATGTCAAGCATTTTCTTTACAAATTATTTCCAACATTTTTGTAACAAGTTTCATATATTTTTCAAAGCCTTCCCATTGATTTTTAGTATTGCCATCGGCTTTGTCTACAAGAGAAGTGAAATAGTTTTATTTTACAATTTCAGTCGGAAATGAAGATTTTCAGTGGGCTCCAATTCTGGGCACTATGAAAGATATTTCATTTAAAACACCATACAGAATGGTTTCCTCTTGACAATTGTAAACGTTCTCCCACCTCTACTCATGTATTTTCACGAAAATACTCTAATGTGCTTTCAATGAAGTCATTTAGGAATCACTATGAAATAGAAAATTTACAATATTGTAACAAATAACAACAGTGTCATAAATACTTTACATTTGACTTCTGTGTGCCATAGGCATAATAATGATCACTAGTAGGGCACAGCATTCGTTAAACAGAGATATTTTAAAATGTGAGAGAGATGCACTCTTCGGCAACAGTATCTGTACAGGACGGGGAGTTCTAAAACTAGCCCTTACAAGACGCATTTTACCTACAACAATGTTTTTTACAAGAATGCTGCTCGATATGACCTTCTTCAGAAGACCTCAAAGTTTCATATTGCCAAGAGCAGTGTCGTGCAAATGGTGTTCGAAATGAAATTTCTTCCCTGTAAAGTCACGAGCCATCAGTCACCTGGAAGAAAAATTGAATTTTAATCCAGTTCGAAGCAGAAAGTTTATTTTCAGCTAATGTTGATTGCAAACATTCCATTAATATCGCTTTTATCAGGAATGAAAAAACTGGGGAGATAAGAACAGCACAGCTGCTGGAGGAGTTAGAATCAAGAATAACCAATAGATTACAAGTAAATTGGCAAACAGCAGCTGATCCAACTATACTTCTGCACAGTGTATTGATTACGATAGTAATATAGGCCTTAATGGAAACACACGGCCGCATCGGCACTAGACATGCACACTAGATAACGGACATCGTACATCCTCCATGACAAACCAAACACAGTGAGACCTGCAGTACGAGGGATAAAATTAGCATAGTTTTTTGACAGAATAAAAATAATGATAATAATTTAATAGTGCCAGTAAATATAAAGTAACACATCCATAAGCCGTTTCATATTCATTTTAGTATTATGCCGATATCATGTGCTTGGAATGAGGCTTCATTTAGCCCCTTTGTTGTGCAATTGGATGAGAGTAAAATTTCGAAGGGGCAAAGGAACATATCACTAACTCTACCTCACCGACTGCATACCGCCCGATCAGCATGAAAAGGAAACAAGGTCCCCTTTCCAGCAGGGCGCACAACTAAGGGAGTACACACGAAAGAAACCACTCGAACGTTTTTGAAAGCCGCGAGCAAAGACATTGTGCAACGACTGTCCAGTACAAGAGGTAGGATGGATGTGCTACTCGTACCTAGTGGCACTCATCGGTTGCAGTCACACGCGACACTGAACACTGCGAGTTACCGTTCTTTTGTTTCGTCGCGTTTAGAATTCCTGTGTAAGTCCTCTTCTGCGTGTCGCGCAGTTTGCGAGAACCTCATGCTCCGAGATGAGGTGAAACAGGAACATAACGGAGGGAGACGAAAATAGAACTCTACCATGCGTATCTCGAAACGGAAGAAGGAAGTCCTGCGACCAGCATCTTGACGAAGTAAGGGAATGAAAACACGGTCGAGGTGAAACAGAGGCTCTCCAGTTCTCTGCGCCCTCCGTCTCCAGTCGCTGCGGCGCTAGGGCGGCGAGGGCTCCGGGGTGGCACTGGCACTGGCGCTGACGCTGGCTGGCTCCCGAGCGGCACAGCGTCGCTGGCTGTCTGTGCTGACGGAAACCGAATGACCAATCACTTCGAGGAATACTTTCATATTGAGACACTGACATATTTAGAAAAATTATGCAACTGATGATATATGTATATTTTTATATATTAGAGAGGGAAACCATTGTTTGAATCTTCTAAACCAACATACGTCTAACTGGAACGATTGCTCAGTTGCATCTGAAACTCAACACACACACACATATAATTGTTTTTGCTGGGCCTACGTGGGCTCATGATTGCTAACGCATGTGATTCATATCATCTTTTTTTAGATATTTAAACGAAATGTATCAAACAAAGAATACACAGCATTGAGATATACAGTACACGAAAGACATAGAAAGATATATGTATATGCATATGTATATATATTCACCCTTATAATGAAACACATTTCTGCGACGATTATGATGGGCTTTAGGCATGCACTGCCGTGAACCGGCGAGCTAGCCAGCTGGGGACGGTAGCCGACTGCCGTTTTGCCGTGGGCTGACGCGCAAGCAGTCTGTGACCCGGGCGGTCGGCCCTGCCTCGTCCCATGCTCCACGTCCCCCGACCCACGTCCCACGTCTCACGTCCCACGACCCACGACCCACGTCCCACGCCTCGTGCCTCGTCCTCCGCGTCCCGCACCCTGCGCCCGCTCGACGGCCGGTGGCCTTGGGCTCGGAGTCACCACAGAAAAGGCAGATGCTTAGAACCCCCCCTGCGAGTCGACAAGAGATCGCGAAACAAGGCGACGATGTCTCGAATCCTCCCTCCCAATCGTAAGAAATTCGAAAAAGTACTACTACTGTGTACTTCCACGTCATCGAAGGTCGCTCGCGGACGTCTTCCGACGAACGCCCCGATGTCTGCGTGGAAGAAATATCTCGGCGAGCGCGGAACGGGTCCGCTCTTGACACACTCAAAGCTACTAAATGCTCGTTTACACAAAAGGGGAGACAAAGCTGCAATACAGAGAGTTACTGGATTTCATACTTTTTTGACACAAACGAGACCCCACAAGATTAGTAAAACACGTCACGTACCTCGTCATATATATGTGTATATACATATATATATATATATACACACCACACGCACACACCCGCGCGCACACACAAACGCTCTACACGCACACGAGTCGCTGTCGAGACGAACGTCGCTATCTACCCACAACGTCCTATATACATCTGTCACAGAGCGGCCGGCAGCCGCGTGGTTTGTGGAGCGCAGCTCGACTGACTTGCACTGCTGTAGCGCGAAAGCCACGAGGAGCTGTAGTTTGACTGTGTGTATATATGTAGATAAAATTACAAATACACACGCCGAGTGTATATTTGTGATTTTAATAGCTATGCTTTTTTGCTAGGTGTCCTATGAAAAAGAGAACTAGTTTATGTCTTTTAAAATATCCACGAATATTTTAAAGCTCATTCCGAAGTCTTTCGTGTGCCGATACAAAGAGGTCAAAAGTCCTCTATCGGTGCCATCAGTCGTCACCGTCCATGTCAATCAGTTCGCTTTGAAGACGGCCTTTGTAGCGGCAGCACAACGTCATGCAGAAGATGCGAACGGCGAGCCGGAACTGAGGGCTGAGTGCCACGAGGATCAGTGCCTTCCAGAACGAGTTGAGGATGCCCAGCCATACGATGCTGAAGTGTAGGTATGGCACCTGGAACTTGTAGCCGGTAAAGTATTCGTAGAGCTTGACGGTCGCGTACGGCGTCCACGACAACCAAAAGGTCACGACGAGGACGAAGGACATCACGTGACTCGGATTCGATAAGTTCTCAGACAGCGCCGTTGCGTATTCTTTGTCGTGAATCGGGACGCCGCTGCGGAGTTTCTTCATCATGGAGAAGATGTACGTGTAGGTGTAAATGATGGTGATGAGGCTCGGTCCCAGCATGAGGATGGCCACGGTGACGGAGTACGCCGCCATGTTGCCCCAGTCCAGCATACAGATGTAAGCATCGCGGTCGAAGTGGGGTTTGTTGAAGCCCAGCAGCGGCGGGCAGCACAACATGGCGGCGGAGATCCACGTGAAGACCATCCAGCATTGGCAGCGCGTCTTCGTCTGCACCGTCTCGTAGCGCAGAGGTTTGCGCACTGCCAAGTACCGGTCCACGCTGATCCACATGAACGTGAATACGCTGACGCTCCACAAGGTGACCTCGAGGTAGCCGACGAGTCGACACACCACGTCGCCATACACCCACTGCTGTACGATGGCCGGGTACACCGACAGCGGCACCACTAAGATGCCGCACAGTAGGTCGGCCACGGCCAGCGACAGCAGGTAAATGTTGATCACCTCCGATGGACCTGCATCAGAAAATGAGTCAACGATCTGCCATATTTGTGCGAAAATGCGCATTTAGAACGAACATTTCTTATATTAAAAATTAAATGGTCTATAAGGTACGGCTCATCTTATTGCTTATTTGGTATGTTTCCTACATATGCAATATATAAAATAAGTGTTTTGTAAACGAGAGGTTATACTAGCATTAATAAATGTCTTAAAAGAGTAAAACTGCGTGTGAAAACATTATCATTTCTGTGTTATCTTTGGTGAATTAAAATTTTCTTCTTTTATCGTAACTTGTATCAGCTTTAACTAAAATAAGTCAAAAGAGTTGACGAATGTTGTTATATGCTTAACAATCCAGCAAACATCTTATATTCTACATTTTCTAGAAGCAATTACACGGATTTGTTAGCATTTCAGAAGTTTTTGATGATGTTCAGTATTTTCTCACTATTATAACAAAAATATATAATATTTAATAGTAATAATAGTAGTAATAATAATAATAATAATAATAATAATAATAATAATTGCGATCTAAAATATGAAGTTCATAAAATGTATTAAGTACATGTTTTACCAAATTTGTCTGTAACATTCAGTACCTAATGTCGTCTCGTCTAATCGTCGAGTGGTTTTGTATTCATCATGCATTACTTTTAAAACTGTATACCTTCAATATTATAAATTTTCTTTCCAATACATTTGGAAATACAAGGTTATCAAGAGAATTGTAAGTGTTTCTCATTGAAGAGGTAAATATAAAATTGAGAGTAAACGTTTTATTTCTTGAACTCAATAGTTTGCCGAAATTGAGGTAAGACAAATGTCATCTGAGACAACATCGAACTTCACGTTTAATTTTCAGAATATGAAATTCAAATGTTTAAATTATATAAAAAAAACAGTTGCAAAATGCGACTTGGAATTGTAAACTTGCATTTGTGTCTTGCTTTCCTTCACTTGATGTATTAGCGTAAGTATGTAGGATGAGTATGTAGTACATTTGCAATGAGTATATAATGATCATTTTTTCATTACGCGGGTTAAAGTTTTACTTTGAGTACAAAATAGTATTTTAAAATAATTATAACCTTTTCTAAAAATGTACACAGTTCTTTACAATGCAAAAATACTGTGAGAGAAACCCATTAAAGATAATTCCTTGAAACAGATTTGAACAATTCATCTGCGACACATATTTTTGTATTTTTCAACTTTTTATATTTTACAGAAGTTAGAATGTGAAGGTCTGCGTCCTTTGAACATTATAATGTAAATTTTAATAATTCGAACATTTCAATAACATACAATCATTTCTCATTCTGATGATATAGTATTTGTTAAAAACAAAAAAAACTTCTATTATTTTTTCAAATATATTTTTCTGGAAGAAAAGTTACATTAATGAAAATAATATTGCAGGATTATTTGAAAATAAGAGAATATAAATAGCAAAATTCTTCTCATGTGTATGTATGGAAAAGCTGAAAGGTGTTTCAGAATAATGGTTACAAGCTTCTAGTGCATGAAGATGGATTGAAAGAAATAACTTTTGGCCAATGAACATCTGGTGGGAAATTTGATATAACGAATATGACATTTGCCTCTGAGTGTTAGGCCGTTTCTCAAGCACTAGCGTTCTGCACGTCAAATTCTGACGCAGTCCAAGAAATTTTGTGAACTTTCCGAACACCGGTGCATCAGGAGTTGGCTAACAATAAGGGTCAAATGTCAAATGCGTCACTTCGTAATAAGCAATTGGTCACCATATACCCATTGGCAAATTGATTATCTCCACTCCTTATACATGGATTACATGTTTGCAATATTTTTTTCTGAGAAAGTTTGATTGTCTTTTAAATGCGAATAGTTTTATTTATAATATAATCTGTTGAGTAACTAGAAATTACTCCGGACGATATTAATATACAAAATAACGTCAACTTAAAAATGTTTTGTAAGTAGATGAATATGTTAATACAGAAATATTATTAGCTAAAGAGAATTTGATACTGATTAGTATTACGTAGAATCTCTGCTCCGTCTCTGAGAACTCGAAATTTTATTATACATTTAAGAGTATGTCCTTTCTTTCTAAAATTCTGTGAGCTGATCTATATGGCTATGGTTCTAATTTTGATTGAGTTTATGGAAATATTTGAAAAATAAAATAAACGTTAAGTACTGAGCACGGTTCTATTTTACTACAAATTCGGATTAACACGAATTAATTGAACTAATTAGTGATCCAAGGGCAATTTGTACAATTTCAAATGATCGTTACCATAACACAAAATAATTTAATAAAATTACGTATTACTTAATTCCGAATACGAACATACAATATATATATATATATATATATATATATATATATATATATATATATATATATATATATAAATTTCAAACATAATTTGATGCGACATTTCAACTTTGGGTGTTTTAATCGAAAATTTAGGCAATAAGAACATATTTCTTTAACTTGCCCACAAAACCTATTTATCTAGTTTTAAACGATATTCATTTAAGATTTGAGACACACATTGTAAAGTAGTAATACAAAAATTAAATTTCATGTACTACATCAGTTACTATTTTGTCGCATGGATACTCACCACGAAAGTTGAGGAAGGTAGCGATGATGAGGACATTGGTCACGATGATGGCTACCCCCATGACGAAAATGATCCCCGCTTGCGTTAGAGTCTCCAGGGTGAAGCGTGTGTTGTTGTCGTGGTTGTCAGTACTAAGGACGATCATAGTCGCGGTGAGGGGTGCAGGGTGGAGGTGGTTGTTGGCCTCCGCCCTGGAAGCGGAGAGCCATGGCGGGCCGGGCCTCTTCTAGCGGGGCCGCTGCTCCATCCCCGCCACCAGCACCCGACCATCGCCCACGCTATCACCGACCGCTACCGTCCCGAGGCCTCATGGAGCTGCAACACACCGCGCGCAGCACATTAGTATACGCAAATTGAGTTGAACGGTGGCGCTTTACGTAACACGCGATTAGAAAGAGAGAGCGAGGGAAAGACAATTTTACCCAAATGTTAAGTTAATGCATAGCACAAATCTAATAATGTACAGGCACCTCAGAATAAATGTTACAAACGTCTACGGCATATAGGAGGTGGAAGATGATCACTTTTATCAATGAACACGTGGTGACAAATGTCAAAAAACATAGTCACAGATCTGGTATTTGATCCTGATTTCTAGACCACTTATCATGCACTTATATTCGCTAGGCACACGAAATCTCTTTGACTGAGTCAGAACGTGGCCTGTCAAACAGCAGTACTTACTGAGTTACCTACCAATCAGAGACAAATATATGCATAACTTCATTATATGAAATTTTTCGTCACATGTTCATTGGGAAGATGTCATATTCGACCTCGTATATATACATATATATATATATAGTTCGACCTGTATCGCCCTAGTAGTTTGTAACATTTACTCTGGTACACTATGTATATTAATGGATATTGATTACTTCAGATGTTCATTAAGAATTATATAATTAAACACTGATTAAAATATTAATATCAATAACCGCGTACCAGGTCCGGATAGCCGAGATCGTTAAGGCAATGGTGCCGTAGCGCTCTCAGATTGACGGATCGCGGGTTCGAGTCCCGCCTTGGGAATGGTTGTATTTGTGTTCGTTATTTCACCCCTATTGTCACCATATCATGTCATCTTCACAGTGACCATTAAGTTAAATGCAATAATGGTCGCTAATGATCTAGATGTTGATGCGTCCTTAAATAACAAAAAAAAATAATAACTTAACAAATATGATACGCCCACGTCGCCCATAATTAATAATTTCTGCACATTCATTATTGTGCATGCTATCATTCCCAAAAGAGTTGATTTACTATGCATTTCTTTACGTCTCCTGGTGTCTGCTCTACGCATCCACCATTAAACAACATGCGAAAGAAACAATTTTGATCGAATGTTCATATCACATACAGATTATTTCTAAAATTGCCGTTAAGAAAATAAAAATAAATAAATACAATGACTTCAAAAGAGAAAGAATTATAGAACGCATTTCTAGTAAATATTTTTATTTAGGAAATCTTAGTTCTCGATGTTCACTAAAGGAGGATCGAATTAAAAAGATTCAAGAGACTCCTCGAGGTTAAGTAATTCAAAACATTAAATGCGCATATTTTCCCTACAGATGGTGAACATCTAGTAAACCCAAAGTTCCCTCAACGTGTGCCAACTACAGGGAGGCTGTTGGGAACTAGGCAACTTTTCCTACGTAGGAGTAAAGATTGTGGCCGAAGAAAGTCAGCTTATCTCTCAGTTCTTCCTGTCCAAGCTCCTCGGGCAAGTCTTAGAAAAAATATTTCTTAACCAAAAATAAGCGGTCGAATTCTATCCGTCTACTCTTGATGTTGTAAGTGATTTAGGAGGGAGATTGTTTATTGGTTCTAACATCTTATTTCATGACATTAAAAGTTATTCTTTGTGGAATAGCATACTAGCTTTACATACAATGCGTTGAAACTGGAATTCATTAATGGAAAACTGAATACTATTTTCGTTAATAAATATGCATTTCTCGGGAGTGGAATAAAGCAGTAAATAGTGAATGTGAATTAATTTAAATATGAATAATTCATGTGTTAAGAGCAAACTGAGAAAGACAAATTTATAATAAAAGCTTCATATTGTGAATATGTACATCGCATATAAAGCCTGTTTTACATTTTTCATGTCTGTAGAAAAGTGACGGACCAAATTGTGCGTAATTTGTAGAGAAAAATGAAACAAGGATGAAATGTTTACATCCGGTTTAAAATGCACTTCTAGCATTACTTTCTGGAACTTTGTCTCGGTTGCTGTGCATGTGGTGCAATTTGTTCCTTTTGTGCAGTTTTGAGAGCATTCTAACGTGCTGAATTGTATGGTGAGGCGATTTGTGGGGTGGAAAGTAAAACGACTGTGAATGTACTGTGTCGTGATGACGTCTCGTTTTGTGCTTGGTCCTAATTTAGTCTAACTTAATTTCTTTCCATTGAAGCGATGTTCAACTGTTTGAGCTTCAGCGCTTTTTGCGACGCCCGAAGAAAATATTTACATGTCGTGCAGAAAGGAAATGACCCCAGCGTTTTTCTGGTTATCGATCATCAAGTTTCCATGCCGAAACAGTACCGCGTAGAAACAAACGACGCTTTCCCATCCATTTTGTGAACAGAAAAAGGTCAAAAAAGGACCGTGTGAAACTGGATTGAATGGTAAATATATAAAAAAATAAAAACTAGAAGTTAAATGGCAATCCATATATTCTGCAACTCGTTTACATTATATTTTCATATGTTTCCAAAAATTAAAAGTGTTCTTAATTTTTTTGTCATATTGTGTTATTTTTTACCTTTAATGAAAATATTGTTTAGAAACTGGTCGTTATTTCACAGTGAATATTAGTGGTAATTGAAGAAAACATACATGGATAAGTAAACGAATCATTTCTAGAGTCAGAAGTCAAAGGGAAATGTTTTGTTGCTTCTTAATGCGCCGCACTATGGATGGGAGAAACCAATAAGGTTTCTTGTTATGCAATGGTTTAGAAGAAAGCGTTGGACTTGTTTATTTCAAAATAATAATGTCAGATACATCCTTCTTTCAGGCTTTTTTCCTTTTTCTAATATCTCGCACACAAGTAAATGAAAAATATGATACACAGGCATCTTTGACGAGACAATTTTCTCAAAGGGAGTTTAATCAGACATAATCACCGATGTGGAAATTTTATCTTCATGAAGGGCCAAGTCTTTCTCTTTCGGTTGAATTGTCTACATTATTGAATACCCACAAACACTTGATAACACATTTCAATATTTATATTTGTTAAGAAAAATCACCGAAAAGCAGTTCGGTGATTGAAGAGAAGAGGGAAGTTAGATTTAATGTCCAAAAGCAACCAAACATTCATTTTTGAATTATGTATCGCTGGAAAATAAGAAGAAACCGTAAATGTAGATGGAAGACATTACCACTAAAAGTTTTCACGATGTGTAGAAAAATTAAATGGTCGATAAATATCGGTAAAACAAACAAATGAGACGCTAAGAATAATAACGGCAGATCTCAACCGAAGTACGTTATTTTTTAAAAAAAAAACGTATTCTTTTCGTTCACGTTCTTTTTCACAGTGGACAAACATTTGAAGGTGTAATTCAAGGGTTTAGCCATATCTCAACTCATTTGCTATTTCAGCACGTGATAGGTACATGGCAGGAGTTTATCGTCAAACTTCCAACTGAAAATGCGAGATCGGATGGGATATGCCGTTATTATCGTAATCGCCTTATATGTTTAAAGAAGAATTGTCAAACTTTTCTTGGAAGAAGGGAAATTGGCACAGAAAATAAATTAATTATAAAATGTTATAATTAACACGTATACGTTAGTAATTTATACGTTTTATTGAAATGATGTGATATTTATAGTTGTAATTAATATTATACTTCAGAAATATATGCTTTTGTTGAAACATACGTATTTAATTGATGATAAGGAAATATTGAATTTATTAGATACAATTATTAATAAAACATGTGTACTTTAAGAGAAGTTCCAGTGGAATAAAAAAATCATTTAGAAATACTTTGAAATAGCGGTGCCAGAACAGACATGTTAAAATATTTTTAAAGTAAGTAATAATTACAAATTTATTTTAAGAGATAAACGAGTTATTATGTAATAAATGTATAAATGACACAGACGAACAATTGAATTTGTAATTGAACCAATAAGAACAAATATTAACAGTGAAAGCTATTGACGAAGATCGCAATGTTTCTCAGAACGATATGGAAGCGTTATCTTGAGGAATGAGTCAGTATAAAGGAGTTTCTCGATCGATTAAACTTCGTCGATTCCACCTGGGTCCAATACATTAGTTAGTGGCGCCCGGCAACCCTACACGCGCATGACGCTCGATGTTGGCGAGACCTTGGGAGAAGTCGGGCGCGTTTCGAAGAGTGACTAATTACGATTATTCAGGGGTTTGCACTCGCCTACCCACTCTGTGTTTCGTGTTGAGAAATGGACTCATATCTGAAAAGGAATTGGTCGTTTGTGACGTATGGAGTTCATACTCGTACAACTTGCTCTCCATTCCTTGACACGAGATGGGTGCACCCAACATTGTACTTTATCTTATGCGCTAGATTAACATATTTCGAAAATTTGCTTGATAATGCAATTTTTTATGCCATTATGGCTAAAACATTGCACAATCTTTGGAACTTACAGAAAACTGATCATAATTCACTGGTTATTTCCAGACAATTGGATTCCTTTGTTGTTTACCTTCAGACTAGTTTCTTTGAGAGGGAATACATCACGGGCGTCTAATGTGCATTTTGAAAGTTAGAAGTGAGTATTTCTCAACGACCTCTCGAAGTTACATGGCTATTTGGAAATCGCTCGCTGTTCATTGTTTTTATTGAAAGAGTTAATGCAAAGAAAATACCTGAAATAAGTTTTTCTAAGTGCTAACTTCCACATACTAATGTATTAAATGAATTTCGATATTTAAAGTAAACAGAAATGCATTAAAGCATTAAATATCGTTACGGAAAAACATTTAATCATTTTATAAATGCATTTAAGTTTTATTAACACTAAGGGATACTAAAACTGCTCAAAGTTATATTGCTGTAAAACAATTACTCGGAAGTAAAATTATAAATCAATACATGCTTTCACGTTTATTTTTGTGTTATATGAGTAAAGTTAAAATAAAGATGCATATCTTGTGGATATTTGTGTAAGATGAAAGAAATATCTATAGCTTGAAAGTAAAATCAGTCGCTTCTGTTTTTTGCACCATAAGGAAGCTCGCAGCTTGAGACCATGAGTGAGTTCACTATTTCGCCGCTTTCCGCGTTGAAAGCAGCTTGTGCGCGGATA